ATCTATTCATTATAACTTTGAAATAATGAAGCTAAAAGACTTAAATATCATCTATATTTAATAATTTAATGATTGAATATAATTTTAAAAATTAATAACAAATAAATTAATAATAATTAATTTATTATTATCTTTATTTATATAAGTATATATTTGTGAAATTAAAATAATAATAATTTTATAAATTATAATAATGATAAATAATCACTATTGTTTATATATTTGTGACATTAAATTAATAATATTTTTTTCTCTAAATTATGAATAATAATTAATTTATTATTATATTTTTAAAATATTTGTGATATTAAAATCATTATTTTTTTTATAAATTTTTAATAGTGATAACTTTATTCATCACTATTGTCTACCATTTATTATTTTTACTATTATATATAATTATTAGTGTTAAATATTTTTGTTATTATAAAGTTTAATTTTAGTGATATTTAAAAATATTGTAACAATTATATCAGTGACATGTGTATTAGTGTCAATTAAATTATTGTTACATAATAATGATAAATTTACAATTGTTAATAATAAATATTTATATCATTATAATTAGTTTTTTTAGTGATAATAATTGATAAAAACTGAACAGAGAATATTAAGATTAAAACTAATAAATATTTTCACAGAGTAAAAGAAGATGAAATTATATTTTCATGAATTGAACGTATATTTAATTTGAAAATAAATATTGAAGGTATGAGACGAAGCCCAGTGCCTTTGAATATAAGACAAATAAATAACATTAATGTCTTGTTTGGTTGGAGTGATTTGAGAGAGTGGAAATGGGAGTGTGGAAAAGGAGGAATTTGGAGAAAAATGGAGGTGAAATTAAAGTTGTTTGGATGAATGGAAAGTGAAAGAAAAGTTTATGGAAAATTGTGAGTGATTTGATTGATATGAGATATAAAAATTATAATTTTAATTGATTATTTAAGAAAATTACCATTTTACCCTTGTGTATAAAATAAGGTTAAAATTATTATAAATATAATTTTTTAATTAATTATCCATATTTTAACATTGATTATATATTTAAAAGAAAAAACAAATTTAAAAGTGTTTGTAAGTGGAAACAAATTTAAAAAATTAAATTTTTTTAAAATAGTTATTAAAAATTATATAAATAAACAATTACAAAATTATTTACATTGCATATCCATAAAAAAATAATTTTGACATATTAAATAAATTATTTGACTAATAATTAAATAATTATAAAATATAAAATAATAATTAATATTGACTAATAATAACAAATAATTATGAAAACTAATAATATAATTGTAAATTATTATTTTAAAAAAATATAATAGTGAAAATAGAATAATAATTAAATGAAAAATTCATGTAAACTTAATAGTAAAAATATTTTATTATTTAGTTAAAAATTATATTAATATATATTTTTGTCATATTTTTATATTTTCAACATAATATATATATATATATATATATATATATATAGAATTACATGTCATAATTTTTAATTATCAAATAATATTAATTAATACAGTACATTAGATATTTGACAAACATTACTAAAATTATAAACATATGCACACTAATGCTCTTCAAACAAATAATTATAATGTTATCGATCATTTGCAGTCAAGTCCTCGAGTTCAGAAGTTCCCTCGTCAGAATGTACTTCAATAGCAGTATCTCGTCGAAAGGTTTGCCGAGTAGGTCTGCCAAATTCATTGTGATCGAAGAGCTCTTGAATGAATCTTAAAGTATTTTGAGATCTTTATAGCAGATCATTCAATCACTTCCACCCAAGAACATGAACAATCGGGAGAGACGAAGATGTGAGGGCAAGCCAAAAAGTCGTCTAACATGTGATTCGTGAGTACACAAATGATTATAACACCTGAAGCATAAGTTGCTCGTCATTTAGGTTCATGCCGACTAACATGTCCCATATATCTGACTCGAATGTTGAAATGTTGATGATCGTCTCATCACATTAACTTGCTCATTAATTAAATCATTTCTGCGTTCAATGGCGACCACTTGCCTTTCAACTATGTCAGATAATCGTTGGGTCAATGTATTACCTTGCCCAAGGTAATCTGTAAATGTGTCCAGCCTCATTGTTAGTTTGTCAAATTGACCTTCCATCACATCAATCATAGGCGTTTTTCTTTTTGTGCCCCGAGATGAAGAGGTTCTACCTGAACCAGTAGACGCAACAGATGGCATTGACTGAGCACCCTCAGTAGGATTGTCGGAACCCATGCGTGGAGGTGATCGATAAGTTGTATCAAATCCTGCATCAAAGCCAAAGTGAAATGGCTACTCCTCTGGTGTGGGGTCCACATCAACGTTCAAGTCGACTGTTGCCCTTCTAGAACTGATATTCATTCGGGACTGACGCGAAGTTCTTGCCATATGTCCAGTGGCTCGATCAGCACCCCACAATTCTTCTATCAAATCATAATACGTTATAGTTGACAGTTTCCATTTAGCTACAGAAGGTTTCGCCTACAAATTAATGAGAATGGTTAACACTCGTAATTGTTATGTTTTGCTATATCAACAAATGATAATTCATATAATAGTACCTTGATTAGGTCATCTCATACTTCTTGCTCAGCTATAAACCCTTTTGTGATATCATCCCAAGCGAATCCACTAAGTCCATGAAACAAATCGTGGACCTCCCGCCATCTATCCTTAAGACTTTTTTGTCAATTTTTAACATTATTTTTAGTTATACCAATTAATCCAGACTGTCTTAGGGATTCAACTATATTATTATATGCTTGGGTTGTCCAACTACCATCAACCCGATTACCCAACCTTGCCTCATGAAGCATAGCAGTCAACAACCGAAAGTTCATGTCATCAGTCCATTTTGTAAACTCGCGCACTACAGTTGACGAATTCGGTGCAATATCTTTTCTTCTGTTCATTTTAAACCTATTGGAAAGATAATATATGTAATTACGATACCAACATATAATTATTATAAATAGATAATCGTAATGTAATCGTATTTCAACAATAACAATAGTACATCTCATTAAATATATTGTTACATACAAAATCTAATGACTTTGATAATCTATCCACATTTGATTTGCTATAGTATCTCTTAAATTTGACCCTTCCCTATAATCCTCTTCCCGAACTTGAGTCGACATATTATCCACATCTTGTTCCATCAACTCTCGATCCACTTCAGCTAACAATGATTCATCGTTGTCTATCCCTCGAAGAAAATTGTGTAGAATGCAACATGCTAGGACTATATTCGTCATTGTATCAAATGAATAATGAGGCTCTATTCCACTAGTTATTATAGGAAATCTTTTCTTCAAAACTCCAAATGTTCTTTCAATTACATTTCCAAGAGACGAATGTCGATGGTTAAACAATTCTCGGGGGTTTTGTGGAGCTCGTCGAGAATACTCTTTAAGGTGGTATCTAATGCCTCGATAAGGGGTCATTATGTTTGCTTTTAACATAAATCCAGCATCCCCCAAGTAGTATTTACCTATTTAAAATCATTGAAGTTATACTAATTAGAATATTTAAACTAGTTCACTATACACAAAATCCCAAGGTTATAAATAATAAACCTTGTGGTATGATAAGGCGATCCTCTCTCGTAATAACATCCTTTAATATTCTTGAATCAGATGCTGTTCCTTCCCACCCTGCTAGAACATATGTGAATTTCATGTCGAAATCACAAGCTGCAAATACGTTTTGTGTTGGCCAATCTTTTCTTCCACGAAAATGAGGGGCATCGGATCTTGCGACTTTAACTCGAACATGAGTTCCATCTATTGCCTCTAAACAATCCTAATTGGTAAAAAAATTTATTGTGATTAAAGTTTAGACAATCTATGTGTATGTTATATAGACACAAAGTTGGTAAGTAGATTTCCTTAAAGTATGGGTAAAATCGGTTGTTGTTTAATATATACGGACACACATTCCTTCCTGATGGTTGAACAATTAATTGTTCGTCCAACATTATTATCGCATTCAACACGTTATGAAAGTGTCGACTAACGGTTTCACCTGATCGATGAAAAAAAAAATGAAACAGTTCGATTTTTAACGTTATGTCTGATAATATGGAGAAATTTAGCCACTTTTTCTTCCACTGTTGATTGTAACCCATCGTTTACTAATCCAGTTGTCCTTACTCGTTGACACAAGTTAATGAACGCCTCTGGTCCCATGCGAATAATGTCACGAGATTGTTCAGTATGAATAAGGTATGACATCAACTCGTGCCGACGACGTTCTTTTTCAGAAATAAAGTCCATAATGTTACCGCTACTACAAGTTACCATAGACAACATATTTAATCCATAAGCTATTAAACAAAGAATTGTCATCGCTCCTACTTCGCTTCGCTTTTTTATCTCACTTTGTATATGTGAAATTATGTTTATATCTAGACCAAGTATCTATATCGTCATTGTCTAAACCAATGACCTCGATGTTTTTGTCCGCCATTTGCAAAATATATATATATATATATATATATATATATATATATATATATATAATTAATGTTTAATGGAAGTAATTCAAAATTGCCATCTGCAAACCAAGTATTACAAAACCAAAAATTATTTACAAAACTACTAATAATTTTTTTCCTCTAATATTTTTACTTCTTTTTTAACAAATTCTCATTTTTATAAATTTTTTTCTTTTCTCAATTTTACATACTTCATTTATTATAAAAATAATAAATTTATTTTTTAAATATAACTATATTTAACATTTTTTTCCTTATTTAATTATGCATTAATATTGTGTGTCCTAATTTTTACTAAATTTTTTTCATGTATCTCTCAATTATTTTTTTCTTTTCAAGTATATATAAAAAAATTCAAAATTCCCATATAATAATTATAATTGCAAAAACAGGGATTTTGGTTCCAGCTTTTCGTTCCAATTTTTGCTTCCATCATTCCCAGCTTTTGCTTCCAAGATGCATATGCAGTAGCTACCAATTTTTACCTCAACCATGCATGGAGTACAACACTAGTAGAACCGGCTTCGAGGTTGCAACCATGGAAAACAACATATGAACCATACCCGTGGGAGAAGATATGAACGAAGCTCTTTGTAGGACAAGCTGACGGCGAACTTGACGGTGCCCCTAAGATACAACCTGCAACAACAACATAACCAATGCACAAGTCAGAAACCATGGTCGTATGGTGCCCATTTTTTGTTGGAGTGGAGGAGGTTTGACCATGTTTTATACCTCAAATCTGAATGGTCACACACACTCTTATGCATGCACACAGACTCCAAAAACAAACGTACCAACCAAGTTTGAGGTTCCAACCATGACAGAGAAGACACAGAACCATACCTGGGGTGTTCCTCCGACAAGATACCAAGCAAGCTGTTGGTGGGACAAGGTCACACCGAAGTTGATGGCCGCCGGCGAAGATCCAACCTACAACACAAATACAAACAAATGAATCTCACGTATGACAAACCATGGATCCACATTTATGGGGCTCCAAACAGGGGCGCAACCACATCGCCGCCTGAGATGGCCATGTAGAGGTTGTCGTGGAGCTGTTTTTTGGCTCCTACCATGCGTCACGCAGAGATTATTGTCGCCATGCATAGCTGATTGTGGAGGGGGATTATGGACCTCTTCTCATGCATGCACAAGACTGCAGCTGCACCCACGAGGCCCACCATGGCGGCCGGAGAGGTGGCAACCAGAGGAGAGTTTGGTGCCAAAACGACGAGGCAGTCATGGTTGAAAGGAAAGGAGACGCTTACCTATGGTTCCAAGGAGCTCTAACAAAGACAGAAGTTGGAGAAGACGAGGATCTTAAACACGCTCACGAAGGCAACTCAAAACTCAGTGCAACTGACAGGAGCTAGCTGAGAACACGACTCACAAGGGTTAACTGAGAACACAGTAGGGTGTTGTTCCCTTTCCTGAAGAAAGAGAAAGATCCCAAGAAAAAGGAAGTAGGCTTCGGTTCAATCTGGGATCAAACTATCCTCTTTTCTTTGACTGTGTCAAGCCACTTCTCTGATTGGTGGGAGACTCTTGTGAAGTAAAGAATGTTTCTGAACAGAAGTCCCACTCCAAGCTTTGGCATATGGAATAGAGTCTTTTAGCTAGTCTTATGAGACTAGCTTTGCTTTATATAATACAATAACTTTCCCTATCAGCTGTAACTAGAGAAGAAAGAATAAGTCCTATAACTACAGGCTTTGGTTCAAGTTCTATCAGCTGTGAACACGTGAAGCTGTGAACACGTGAAGTTGGTTGTACAGCCCGTGACCTCTGCATGTACAGCCCGTGACTTCTGTTCATGACTTACCTCCTTCTCTCGTGTTATTCATGCATGTTCTTCTGCGAAATTTTTTCTACAATAGCACGTATTCGTTTTTAAATTTCTCAAATAGCATACTGTAGGTTTTATTTACCTATATAGCACAGTTTTTTGTTAAGGTGAGAATTCGATCTTCCGGAATACGAAACCTAAACGTAATTGTATTTTATAATTTTTTCAAACAATTTAGAATTCAATTTTCCGACAATCGAATTCTCGAATAGTTTTCTTTTTATTTTGTTAAGAAAAAAAACTAACTAAAATATATATATATATATATATATATATAATATGTTATAATATTTTATTTAACATTTATAATTTTAAATTAGGTATTTAAAAAGATTTGTATATTTCTAAAATTAATAATATTTAGGTTTATTGTTGAAAGTAGTAAAATAATATTTTTAAAATATATTATTAAATATTATATTTAAATTTATTTGTATGATTAAACTTTTTTTAATTTTTTGATTTATTTGATATTATAATTTTTTTAGAAATTAATAATAAATTAGGAGGATAATAAAAATCTTAAAAATTATATGTATATAAGAAGAAATAATATTTTGATGTAAAATTATATATATATATATTCTAAAATATAATTTATATTAATTACTATAATATAAAATATATATTCCAAAATATAACTTATTTTCATTTATATATATATTATAGAAATTAAAATCAATTATATTTTAGAATATATATATATATATATATATATATATATTAAATATAAATTATTTTCAAGTTGATAATTATTATTCTAATTTATGCAATATATATATATATAATTAATTTAAAGTTTTTAATTTAAGTAATATATCTATATATAATTATAATTTATATAATTATAATTTATATTATATATATAAATTATTTAACATTAATTTTATAGTTATAATTTCTTATAAAGTTATAATTATAAATATGATTTTTTTAATTATATAATTATAATTTTTATAATATATAATTGATAAATAATTTTTTTTAATTTTAATTTAATATATATGTGTCACTTTTAAGAGCGGTTAACATTTTAACCGCTCTTGAAAGTGAACATATAATAAGCGGTTCCACGTTAACCGCTCTTAAAAGTAAACATATAATAAGCGGTTCCACGTTAACCGCTCTTATCAAGTAGAAATAATTGATTAATTTTTTGAATAGTTAAAATATATATATATATATATATATATATATATTAAAATATAATTTATTTTTAAGTTGATAATTTTCATTTTTATTTATGTAAATTTTATATATAAAATTAATTTAGAGTTCATAAATGTAATTTTAATTTATGTAATATATATATATATATAATTTATTTAACTTTAAAAATAGTTATATTTTTATTAATTATATAATCATAATTTTTTTAAGATTATAATTTTAAATATAATTTTTTTAACTTTATATTTATAATTTATATAATCTATATAATTTAAAAATAATTATTATTTTTTTAATTTTAATTTGATATATATTTTATTTATAATTATTTAATATATATTTAAAAAACTATTTAATTATTTAAAAATTAATCAATTATTTAAAAAAATAACTGGTTCTCATAAAAAACTATTAGATTATTTCAAAATAATCGATTAGTTAAAAAAATATATATTTATTTATATATATATATATATATATATATATATTTATATTATAGAAATGAAAATAAGTTATACTTGGGAGAATATATATATTAAAATATAATTTATTTTTAAGTTGATAATTTTTATTTTTATTTATGTAAATTTTATATATAAAATTAATTTAGAGTTTATATGTAATTTTAATTTATGTAATATATATATAATTTATATAATATATATAATTTATTTAACATTAAAAATAGTTATATTTTTATTAATTTTATAATTATAATTTTTTTAAGGTTATAATTTTAAATATAATTTTTTTAAATTTATATTTATAATTTATATAATATATATAATTTAAAAATAATTATTTTTTTTAATTTTAAGTTGATATAATTTTTTATTTATAATTATTTAATATATATTTGAAAAACTAATTGATTATTTAAAAATTAATCAATTATTTTTTTAAATAATTGATTCTCATCAAGTATGAAAAAACTAATCGATTAATTACTTTTTGAAATAATCAATTGGTTTTTTAAATAGTTAAAAAAATATATATATATATATATATATATATTATATTATAGAAATGAAAATAATTTATACTTTGGAGAATATATATATTAAAATATAATTTATTTTTAAGTTGATAATTTTTTTTATTTATGTAAATTTTATATATAAAATTAATTTAGAGTTCATATATGTATTTTTAATTTATGTAATATATATATATATATATATATATATATATAATTTATATAATATATATAATTTATTTAACATTAAAAATAGTTATATTTTTATTAATTTTATAATCATAATTTTTTTTAAGGTTATAATTTTAAATATAATTTTTTTAACTTTATATTTATAATTTATATAATATATATAGTTTAAAAATAATTTTTTTTATTTTAATTTGATATATTTTTTTATTTATAATTATTTAATATATATTTGAAAAACTAATTGATTATTTAAAAATTAATCAATTATTTAAAAATAATCTAGGTTCTCAGTATGAAAAAACTAATCGATTATTTGAAAAAGTAATCGATTAGTTTCTCATACTTGATGAGAACTGTGTCACTTTTAAGAGCGGTTAACATTTGAACCGCTCTTAAAAGTAACACATATAATAGTTGTTCCACTTTAACCGCTCTTAAAAGTAAACATATAATAGCGGTTCCACGTTAACCGCTCTTATCAAATATGAAAAACTAATCGATTACTTTTTGAAATAATCGATTAGTTTTTTGAATAGTTAAAATATATATATATATATATATATATATATTACATAAATTAAAATTACATATATGAACTCTAAATTAATTTTATATATAAAATTTACATAAATAAAAATAAAAATTATCAACTTAAAAATAAATTATGTTTTAATATATATATATATATATAATTTATTTAACATTAAAAATAGTTATATTTTTATTAATTTTATAATCATAATTTTTTTAAGATTATAATTTTAAATATAATTTTTTTAACTTTATATTTATAATTTATATAATCTATATAATTTAAAAATAATTATTATTTTTTTAATTTTAATTTGATATATATTTTATTTATAATTATTTAATATATATTTAAAAAACTAATTAATTATTTAAAAACTAATCAATTATTTTAAAAAATAATCGGTTCTCAGTATGAAAAAACTAATCGATTATTTCAAAAATTAATCGATTAGTTTTCCATACTTGATTAGAATGTGTCACTTTTAAGAGCGGTTAACATTTTAATCGCTCTTAAAAGTGACACATATATGATAGCGGTTTCACTTTAACTGTTCTTAAACGTAACATATAATAGCGGTTAGTTCTAGAACCGCTATCTAAAATATCGATTATTTGAAAATATTTTGATGTAAAATTATATATATATATATATATATATATATATATTCTAAAATATAATTTATATTAATTACTATAATATAAAATATATATTCCAAAATATAACTTATTTTCATTTATATATATATTATAGAAATTAAAATAAATTATATTTTAGAATATATATATATTAAATATAAATTATTTTCAAGTTGATAATTATTATTCTAATTTATGCAATATATATATATATATATATATATATAATTAATTTAAAGTTTTAAATTTAAGTAATATATCTATATATAATTATAATTTATATAATATATATAATTTATTTAACATTAATTTTATAGTTATAATTTTTTTAAAGTTATAATTATAAATATGATTTTTTTAATTATATAATTATAATTTTTATAATATATAATTGATAAATAATTTTTTTTAATTTTAATTTATTATAAATTTTTATTTATAATTTTTTAATATATATTTGAGCAATTAATCAATTATAATCTATTATTTGAAAAACTAGTCAATTCTAATCAATTATTTAAAAAACTAATCGATTATAAATAATTATTTGAAAAAATTATCGAATATAATCGATTATTTAAAAATAATCGATTATAATCAATTATTTGAAAATATAATCGATTAAAAATAGATTTTAAGATAGCGGTTAACGTGGAACTCGCTATTATATGTTACTTTTAAGAGCGGTTAAAGTGGAACCGCTATCATATATGTGTCACTTTTAAGAGCGGTTAACATTTTAACCGCTCTTAAAAATGAACATATATATAGCGGTTGCACGTTAACCGCTATCTAATATATATTTTTAATAGCGGTTAGTTCTAGAACCGCTATCTAAAATCTCGATTATTTGAAAATGTAATCGATTATTTAAAAAATTATATATTCTAAAATATAATTTATTTTAATTTCTATAATATATATAAATGAAAATAAGTTATATTTTGGAATGTATATTTTATATTATAGTAATTAATATAAATTATATTTTAGAATATATATATATATATATATATATATATATAATTTTACATCAAAATATTATTTCTTCTTATATACATATAATTTTTAAGATTTTTATTATCCTCCTAATTTATTATTAATTTCAAAAAAAATTATAATATCAAATAAATCAAAAAATTAAAAAAATTTAATCATACAAATAAAATTTAAATATAATATTTAAATATAAATAAATTAAAAAAACAAGTTTTACAGAGATTCTCAACTTTTTGCGGAGATTCTTAAAAATCTCTCTGCATGCATGCACCAGATGAATCTTGCAGAGTGAGGGTAAGTTAAACATTTCAATTTGTCCAAGGGGCTTTTATCTCTTTTCTTCGTGCATCAGCGAGGAATCTCTTTCTCTCATCTCCCGCTTTTCTTCGCTTTCATTTCATCGTATTTTTGTTCAACCAAACGTGTATCATTCTCATGTTTCTATCTTCTTCAACAGTATATCAATGGAAACAAACATAGTGTAAGAGTCATATATACTTAACCATACTTAACCAGCAAATAAAAATCAATATCAATACCTCATCTGCCACGTTTGAATGGGCTCGATATAATCCCAATCAACACTGTACATGCATCCTATGAAGAAAATCAACACATAAAACAAAGAATTGCTAGCTTTATGTTTGAAAAATCAAATACTCTTGCACTTTCATGTATTCACTTAATATATGTGTTTGTATGAATAATTTGTTGAGAATAATTTTCAAAAAAAGAATTTGAATTGTTTTATGAAAATAATGCTAATAATTAGTTGGGTAAAAAGTTAATAAATTAAAATTATATAATTTTATAAGAATAATTTGATTATTTAAATTTAAAATTTACTTAATTAGCAAAAGTTTATATATTTTTTTCCTATCATATTTGTTGTAATATTTATGATTATTCTTTTTCTAATTAATTTTTAGTTTGATCTCAATTAATTGCTTATTGATTCATACTAAGTGAGGTGTTCTTCTTTGGTCTTTAGAAAGGATTCACAGTAGAGAAATACACAAATGAAATATGAACTCAAACTACATAAAGATTGATTTCACTCTCAATCTAAAATCTTAATATTTATATGTTGATCGACATTTGGCTTTGGTATTACTTATTCAGACTTTCAAGGGGATTTACTGGGGAGAAACAATACTAATGAGACAACAACCCAACCTGCATGAGGATTGACACCACTCTCAACCAAAAACCTTAAGACATTAGGTTATAAGTCATACTTCCTTATATGTTAATTTTTTCATTCTTACACAATGTGGGACTTAGAATCACAATTAGATCAACTAACAATCTTTCCCTCAAATATGAATTCCTCCACATTGGTATATTCCCTGAGCCCAATAGTGATCCTTCAACGTACTGTCGTTCACCCTAACAGGACACGCTTGCCTCACCTAATGTCAGAAATACTTTCGATACAAAGACTACTCTATTCCACTGCCGATTAACTTTCGACTTTAATACCACTTGTTGAGTCTTTCGAAGGGATTCACAGAGGAGAAACATACCAATGAAATATGAGTTCAATCCACCTAAGGATTGATATCATTCTCAACCTAAAACCTTAAGGCATTGAATTATGTGTCATATTTTTTTATATATTATTCAACTTTTTTATTCTTACTCAATACATGCAAAATGACTCGTATTTAAGAGTGAGATTGTTTAGTAAACCCTAAACCCTAAATTCAAACATTCTTTAATCTAAATCATTCATGATTTTCCAAAAACAACTTAGTTTAATAAATATCAATATATTATTAAAGATAGTACTTGAATTTGTTAAATAAAGAATAAAACTAAAGCTATTAGATGGTAAAGGAATATCATAAAAATGTATTATAAGATTTTAATTATTTACATTTTCGTTGATTCTTAATTGTTCTTCTCTTTTTAAAATAATTCAAATAAACAACTTTCTTTGTACTTTAGTTATTCGACAGGTAGTTTCTCAATTCAAAATACAAAACATTGTTTTATTCATGATACTTTTTTTCATGTAAATTATTTGTTTCTTCTTTCGTTGTATTCTTTATTTAAAAGCATATTTAGATTTATTTTTATTTAAAAGCATATTTAGATTCAATTTTGTGTTTATGAAAGTTTAACTTGTTGGATGACATGTTAGCTTGTTGCAATAGATATAAGAATAATATCCTTAATGTTTCTACTCAATTTATTTAATTTATTTATCATTGATTTTTTCTTCAATACAATAATGTCTCCACTTATGATCAATATAATTACAAAAGTCCAAAGATGTCCTCGCTCTCATTAGTCAAATGGTTAAATTTGGATGGTCAAATATGAATATTCAATTGCATAGTTAAACAATAACTGATGAGTTTACTAAAATATAAAAGGACTAAAAGTTAAGAAAAAGATCAAAATTATACTTTCAGTCCTAAATATCAATATTTGGTTCAAGTGGAAGGTTCCATGTTTGATATATTATTTATTTTAAAATTATAATGCGTCACAATTTTTTTTAAATAAATTAATAACTTAAATATATATATATATATATATATAAATTATCTTCTTAGTATATATATATATATATATATATATATATATATATATATAATTATATTATGTGAAAATTATTAATATATTGAAAACAAATTTAAAAAATACAAGACAATATAAAGATTAAAAAAAAATATATAAAGGTCAATCAAACTAAACAATAAATTGGTCTAGCCAAATAATTAGATACTCCACAAGAAAAACTTTTTATTTAAAAAAAGTGATTTTTTTATTTAGAAACAAATTATATCTTTTTAATTCTTATATTGTCTCGATTATTAGGGAAAAGATTATAGAGATAAAAATACTTATTTTAAAATTTGTAAGTTCTTCTTAATAAAAAAATGTATTAGAAGTTTGGAGAGAATAAAACTGAATTGACATAAAAATAAAATAAATCTTAATTTAAACTCTTCTATTACATCTCATTTCTACTTTTGTAATGCAAACAATAAAATAACTTTTCTTTTACTTCTCTCTGTTATTTTATTTTTCCTGTCATTTTTTCAAAAACCCTGCCTTAGTAGACAAGAAAATAATAATAAAATCATTGTTGTAAGAACAATCACAAACAAGTGTACATTATGGTTGAAATTGTACGATAATCCTTACCAATTCATTTTCGATACTGTTTTTTGTCCATTTTGGTTTAACTCTCGCGAAAAAATGAAATGAAGAGAACAAAAAACGTCAGGACCGTTGGATCAATAAATGACCTATCCAAATTTCTAGATCCAACGATCTTCATTTTGTTCATCTCTCCGACTTTATACAGGAGACAACCTCAACCTCGGTAAGGGATAGAGAAGAAAAGAACAGGTTCTTCCACGGAAAGGTAGCTGGTTTTGTCGGAGTCCACCCATCTCATCGATTCATGACCACCATCCCCATCTTCCTTCTCCTCTTCTCTTTCTCTTCCTCTTCTTTTTCCTGAGAAAAAATTGCAGGGAAAGTGAGGGAAAAAACAAGAGAGAGAAGGGTTGGAGAGGAAACAAGAAGATTGAGGAAGTGGGAAGTACCCAGGTAATTATATTGGTGAAATATTCTATTTTGATCAGTGGTTATTTGTTTCCTTAGTGGGTTTTGGTGAATCCATGGAGATGGACAGCATTGACTGTGTGTCTTTCTCTGATGGGATGGATGAGGATGAGATCCAACACCACACTATGCATCCTCATCACCACTCTGAGTTTTCTTCAAACAAACCTCGTAATGGCGGTGCTAATAATAATAATGTTTTGGGAGCCACGACCATTTCTCCTGCAACCAGTGTTCATGAGTTGCTAGAATGCCCTGTTTGCACCAATTCAATGTATCCCCCAATTCACCAGGTCAACTCTTGCGCCCATTTCCATCTTATTTGTATTTTTGTTGTGCAATTTGATATTTGATTGCATATTGGGGTTGTGGGGTGGGGAGAAGAAAAGCTTTTTTTTTTTTTTTCCTTATATTTATTGAGTTTCTTTTGTGAATTGGACTGGTTTGGGGTGAAATTGAGTTGATAATGAGCATTGGTTTGACTTTTTCTTGGGGTTTGGGGAAGTCTTGGATTAGGTTTTGGAGATTTAGGTTTTTATTCCATTTGAGAAACCCCTATTTATCAAGTAGCATGTCTAGTTAACCAGATTTTATTACACTTGGTTGATGAGTGTCGGGTCATATCAATGCTTGCAATGGTAGTAATTGAGTCAGTTTTGACAGGGCATTTTCCTTTTTATCTGACCACTATTTTATAACAAAAAAATATTTTGGCAGAGAAAGTTTATTTTTGCTTATTAACATTTCATATTGTGTGTATTAATTTCAAATTGATCAGTTGAATTAGGGATTCTCAGTAGTTACTGTTTCCAGTACTGAAAATATCATTCATTGGAGATGTTTAGGGTTTAACACGGTTTATGTATTATGCTCTGAAGCAATCAAAGAACCATGTCCATTTGTTCAGTTTAAGATAGGTGAGGAAGTTCTGATATCAGTTATATAATCATTCATTTCCCAAGATTGAAAGTTCTAAACTTGTAGTAAATCATGGTTTATATATCTTGTGCAAAATGGTTCAGGTTGTATATGCTTCAGCATTGTTGGATGTCTATAAGTAATACCTGCAAAGCACATGCCATGTCAGTATCATTATAGGTGTATCATTTTGGCTTGGGTCAATATCTGTGAGACTAGCCCATTTGAGCTTTCATCCAACAGTTTAAGCCTACTTTAGATCATTGTCATCCTCCATTGGTTAATAAAAAGAAGTAGTTTCACCATAATTTAGATTGGGCTTGTGCATTTTCCTACCCTCAAATGCTTTCATGTGAGGGGACATGTTAGTTATAAAATAATTTTTTAGCATATAGTACCATACAAATTATGCTTTTAGGAGATTTGGTCATTGACATGATTGCAGAGCTTTTATCATGTAGTTTTTAATAGTTCAATCATTGTCATCCAATTGTTCTGAGTAAAAGTTGAATTTCTGCTAATGTTACAGAAGGGTCTGTGCTTATCCACCCATATAAAATGTTACACGGATGAGGAAATTTTCATTTGAAAAGCTACCAAATAATGGGATCTATGGGTTGATATGATAAGTAGCTTCTGTGGCCTCTAGACCTGCAACATATTAGACACTCTTATGCTGGACCCCATGGGAAATATGAGTATGGGGCAGAAGTGGAATTTGGATTTAACAATGAAGCCTATGTGGCAAGGTTAGTATGAGGGAAGGGAAAAGTAGGTAACAATGAATCCATTCATTGAGTGGATTTTGGGGCCTTCGGGCAAGGAGATGCATTACTTCGAAGCTCTGCAGCATTTTATCTTTTGTTTTCTTGTTTTGTGTGTGTTTGTCATCTCTATAATTGAGGTGATCCCTATTTTTCTGAAATAAAGTACTTAGATGCTATCACAACATCTCTTTAATGTTAATTCTAATATATACCACTTTCTAGATAGAGGACATGACGTTAGATAGAGCTTTGGACTTCAACCAGGGATTTTATATCAGTATGGAGAGTAGCTATATTCAACAAATGAGTTAGAAATGGGAAAAATGGATTTGTATGAGAGCACCCATATCTATCACAACATGTAATCCCTTCATTTGATTCAAAAGAATTATGCAAAGAGCCAATATGTAACCCTAATGCAAACCTATCTTTATATGAAAGTCCTTAGTCTAGGAGTTCTCACACAGTCACACTAGTAGTTTCCTCATTGTACATGTCTTCGATAGCTTAAATATAAGTCGTACAGAAACCTTTCTTTTCCAAAACACTTCGCATGGTGCTCAGTCATATGTTTTTTCCAAGACTTAATAAAAACCATACATAAGTCTCTGTGTTTTGTTACCTTTCCCTAGTAGATCACAGAGCTGTTGCATCTTGGCCTAAATCCAAATTGATTTTCTACAATCTTAGTTTGTCTCTTATTCTATGCTCAGTCACCTTTTCCCTTGTTTTCCTAATGTGAGCCAAGTTTTTGTTAGAATCGCGCAGCGGAATGTTCGCGTGGACGGACAAAAACCAAGAGGGGGGGTGAATTGGATTTTTAATAAAAATTAGGTTTTCAAAATTTTCCCCAAATTTTACCGATTAAAAAACTGCGTAAATGTAAATAGAGAAGAGTAGAGAAGATTACACAGTAGGTTTATACTGGTTCGGATCAAAAGACCCTACGTCCAGTTGCTAATCACTCAAAAGAGGATTAACGCTGTCACTAAGAACAAATTGTTACAAACAGATTACAAATGAAAAGATAAAGATACGAAAACACCTCTCTTGAAATCCACAAGAGATGAAGAACAACTTTCCCTAGAGACGGCACAGCACACAATCCACTAAGAACTCCACTTAGTGATTCTTATCGCTTCTAGCCTCACACCAGGTTCCAAAAGCCCCCTTTCCTTGCAACAAACAGTTCTCCGGCACTCACAAGACTTAACTTTTGTATGGAAAGAGTTGTTCTTACTTTCGAGTGCCAAAGCGAGTTTAAGTAGGGAAATTAGGGTTTAGGAATTGGGGATTTCGAAACTAGGGTTCTTGGTAATTGGGTTTTCGAAAATAGGGTTTGTTTGATGTTTAAAATCGAAACAGATCGAAATAATCGATTATTTGGAGTGATAATCGATTAAAACAGAGCCAAATACGTCGGAACCCAAACCTCTTTGGAATAATCGATTATTTGGTGAAATAATCGATTATCTCATACTGAACAAGTACAAAACAATCGATTATTTTGTCGTTTTAATCGATTAAAACAGTTGAGTTTGTATAGAAAGTGTTTTCTCACTGTTTTAATCGATTATTTACCTATATAATCGATTAAAGCCGAAGCTCGAATGATAATTTTGAGCTTTTCGAAGCTTCTAAGTTACGGACTATGTACCGGCTATCTTAGACTCTAAAAATACAGACTCAATCTTAAATAAAACAGAGTTATTACAATACAATTATCACCAATTCTTCAATCTTCAATATTCTAAGTCTTTAGTTCTTGGATCATCATCAAAATCCATTCTTCATATTCATCAAGTGCAACATCAAGTCCTTGAATTGTCAACAATCTCCCCTTTTTGATGATGATCAAAATTTTCTTTTAAAGCCCTTTGTAATAACCTGTTTTATCCGTCATACTAACAAACACATTAAACATACCAGATAAAATTTAAAATTGAATCATAGGCTTTAAATTTTTCTCCCCTATTTTGATTATAATCAAAAAGAACTCTGCAACATCAATCATAAGAGCTCCCCCTCAAAATAAGCATAAGTTAGAGAAAGCTCCCCCTCAATCATAGCATGAAAGAAACATCAAATTTTATTTCATAATCATTCATTCATAACAATACAAGAACAAAATAAAATCTAAAATTCTTCACTATCCTCATCATTAAAGTGAGTATCAAATCTATTTTCTAATCTACCTACTCTATCATCTACATCGGATATACTGCGAATAATTTCATCATGCCGTACACCGTAAAGATTGAAGAATGATTGCATTCTTTGATTCATGTCTGAAAGCATATCTTCCATGGATTGTCTTGATTCTTGATGAGAAGAGGATGTTCCTATACTTTGGATTTGGGTAGAGGGAAACTCAACTGCTTGGAGGCATATCTTCATCCGAGTCTTCAATTGCATCACCTTGATTTTGGACGTCATCTTTATGAACATAGATGTCATTGACCCGCACCATTTGTAGATGAATCAAAGTGCTCGTCCGAAGCATGCGGTTCAAGTTAGTAGTTCGGACAACTTGTTCACCTTCGACATTGACTCCTTTATATTCAAGAATTCGGGATACAAGAAGAGCATATGGAATCTTGAATGTTGGATGACGTTTGGCCTTAAGCATGGTCATTGTGACAAGAACACCCCAATCTAAAGGTTCATTATTCATGATGGCATGAATAATGCGAAGATCAATAGAAGAGCATTGGGCATGATTTGTGGCCCGGGACATAAAATCCAGACAAGCAAATGAAGAATCATGCGTTCTTCCTTCTTCAAGGGTCCAAGCATGAAGAATACGTCCAACTTCCATGGAGGGATTCCGCGAAAAGATCTATAAGCAAGGAACGTGTCAAAATCATCTAGCTCACCATAAACGTTAATAGCATCTTCTCTAATTGGGAAGTGAGCAACATTTTCCCAAATATCATCATCTAGAATTATGGTTACTCCTTTGACACGGGATGTAGCAATTTGATCCCTAAACTGGAATCTAGAATAGAATACCCTAACTAAGTCAGGATAGTATGTACCTTGCATTTGGATAAACGGGAGAACTCCTTGAATTTCAAGAAGATTAGGAAAATTGAAACCCCTACGAATGAATTGCTCACCTATAAGAAATTTGGGAGAAATAATAGCTTTTTCTTTCCAATAGGTTAGAAACTCTTGTTGGCTATCTCGCATCGGAGATCCATCCTTCTACGAATTAGGACGGGAATGAGAGGAAGGTGCAGATCTTCTTCTTGTAGGAATCTTAGGGCGAGAGGATGAGGCCATTTGAGAGAGTAGATAATCTTGAAGAGATTTTGGAGACAAGTGAGGGAATAATGAAGCAAAGAGAGTATAGATTGCAAGAAAACTTGATTACAAGAATTAGAAGTGAGTATAATTGACCTAGATGTCTCTATTTATAGAGAAAACACTTCCAACGGTCATATAGAAAAGATTTCATGGCAAAATATCCGTTGGCAATGGCTAAGAGGCAAAACTGGTCGTATTTAATCGATTATATTTCAAGATAATCGATTATTTCAATATCGGACAGCTTTAATCGATTATTTCCGAGTAAATAATCGATTATCGGAGGCATTTAATCGATTATTTCACGAGATAATCGATTATTCCGGAGGAGAATACCCTGTTTTGGACGTTTTGAGGGACAATAATCGATTATCACTTCCAAGAATCGATTATTCCAGAGGCTATATCAAGTTTTTAAGGTTTTTACACATTATAACCTATGAATATCCCAGTATCACGAATTTAATCATAACAATCATCCAAAAACAGTCAAATTAAGCAGAATTTAAGCTATTTCTAGTATCCCTAAGTCTCTTCTAAGATCATAGAATCTATCCTTGGGTAGAGGCTTAGTAAATATATCTGCTAATTGACGTTTAGTGTCCACATACTCTATCTTACAGTTTCCTTTGTCGATATTATCTCTTAAAAAGTGATGTCTAATCTCAATATGTTTAGTCCTAGAGTGCATTACTCGGATTTTTAGTTAAGTTGATTGCACTCGTATTATCACACATTAATGGAATGTCATTTAAATATATGCTATAATCCTCTAATTGTTGTTTCATCCACGAATTTGAGCACAACAACTACCAACTGCAATAAATTCGAACTTCAGTGGTAGATAAAGCAACACATGCCTGTTTCTTAGAATGCCATGATATTAAGGATGAACCTAACAAATGACATGTCCCACTAGTGCTTTTCCTATCAATTTTACATCCACCATAATCGAGATCGAATATCCTAATAAACTAATACAGGCATCAGACGGATACCACAAGCCAAACCCAGTAGTTCCTTTTAAGTATTTTAAAATATGTTTTATCGCAATTAAATGAGATTCTTTAGGACAAGCCCGAAATCTAGCACACACACAAGCACGTAATGCATAATATCGAGTCTACTAGCAGTTAAGTATAATAGTGATCCTATCATACCTCTATACATAGTTTGATTAACTTCCAAACCTGATTCATCCTTGTCTAAATAGCATGATGTTCCCATGGGTGTGTTAGCTTCCTTTGAGGTGTCCATACCAAACTTTTTTGAGAATCTCTTTGCAGTATTTAGTTTGAGAGATGAAAGTGCCATCTTTAAGTTGCTTGATTTGAAGTCCAAGGAAGAATGTTAGTTCTCCCATCATAGACATTTCAAACTCTCCCTGCATAATCTTAGCAAATTCTACACATAACAAACTATCAGTTGATCCAATAATATATCAACAAGTATCACATCCTTGATCTCCAAAGTGTTTGCACCGCAGATTGCTTGATTGATTGCTAAAGGATGTGTGAAAACTTATATTCAATGTGTTTAAAAAGTTCAAGCTAAACTGTTTTTATAGAGGATTTTCAAAACTCGCTGGTTTAATTAATCTGTTAAAAGATTCTTTTAATCTGTTAAAAGTGCAGTTTTAATCTGTTAAAACGTCTTTTAATCGATTGAAACGC